TCCCAGTCCCAGGCGGGCGCCTCCTTTGCAGTGCTCTGGCTCGGTGCCCACCCTACGGGTGCAGGCAGGGATCGGGTCCAGGCCCTTCCCTCACTTCTCCGAGGCGCCAATCTGGAGCACCCCCGCTCGCCGCGGGCCTTCTGGCTGCTCGCGGCAAAGCGCTTCTCTGGGAGCAGCCCAAAGCCACAGCTGACGGGCGGGCCTTCTGGCTGCTCGCGGCAAAGCGCTTCTCTGGGAGCAGCCCAAAGCCACAGCTGACGGGCGGGCCTTCTGGCTGCTCGCGGCAAAGCGCTTCTCTGGGAGCAGCCCAAAGCCACAGCTGACGGGCGGGCCTTCTGGCTGCTCGCGGCAAAGCGCTTCTCTGGGAGCAGCCCAAAGCCACAGCTGACGGGCGGGCCTTTGGGCTGCTCCTGGGGGAGCGCTTCCCCGTGAGCAGCGCAAAGCCCGTTTTTTGGAACAACTGATCATCGCAAAGCGAATTTTCCCCATAGGGGCCATCGCAAAGCGATCGCTCTTGTGATGGCAAAAAGTCCATCGCAAAGCGATTTCATCGCTAAACGGAGCGATCGCTATGCGAGGCACCACTGTAATGTTACTAGCAAAATAGACTGGTTCAAAGGAATGCATGTAGTCCTTAAAGTATTTAATGAGTGGAATGAAGTGCTGGTACTGTATGTATGTAATTTGTTTAATTATAGGTCTAGAGTTGGGGTGTTTGGTTGTATGAGTGAAGGGGAAGCAGAAAGGAAGATTGTTATTAATATTTCTATGGAAATTGATGTGCAGGGAAACAGATTGAGAACATATATTTTTGTAGGAAAAGCAGGGAGTGGTACTAAGTGATTAACCACAACCCTAACTATTGGTAACCATTCATGCTTAGTAGTTTCTGAGTTGTATAACACTATGTATTTTCAAACTGTACAGTATTTTCTTTTTAATTTTAAAAGCTGTTAGTCATACATTTACAGAATTCTGCATCATACTTAGTACAAGTGCTAGATGCATGAAATACTTCCTTTCCTGCATGACTGGTATTCTTTCCTTCTTTATTTCTTTCTTTCTTTCTTTCCTTCTTTCCTTCATTCTTTCTTTCTTTCTTTCCTTCTTTCCTTCCTTCCTTGCTTCTTTCTTTCTTTCTTTCTCTCCTTCTTTCTTTCTTTCTTTCTCTCCTTCATTTCTTCTTTCCTTCCTTCCTTCTCTCTCTTTCTTTTTTTTTCTTTTTTTCTTTCTCTCTCTCTCTCTCTCTTTATTCATTTATTTAATAAATACTCTAAAAATTGCCATCAGGACCCACAGTTGATGTTATTTCAATTAAAAGCCTTCTGGAACAGGAAGGTTTTGACCTGGCACCGAAATGTCATCAGCATCGACGCCAGATGAATCTCAATTGGGATGGGGTTCCATAGTCTGTGGGCAGCTGCTGAAAAGGCCTTTTATTTACAAGTCATCCCTCTTACCTGCTTGAGGAATGGCTCTTTCAAAAGGGCCCCCTGGCTAGATGTTAACTGCCAGGTAGGTTCCTATGCAAGGAGGCGGTCCGTCAGGTATCCAGGGCCCGCGCTGTTTAGGGCTTTATAGGTCAAAACAAGCACTTTGAAT